GGGTCAGGATTTGTGGGACAGGATTTGGGGGTGGAATTTGAGGGACAGGATTTGTAGGATTGAGGCTCCCAAGGAGATCCCAAAGAAATCCCATCATTGTTTTGGGATCTGGGAACAGCCTGGATTTTTCCCGAGGATCCCACAGATTCCCATTCCCACCGGGATCCGCAGCAGCTCCAAAGATTTCCATGGGAAGGAGGAAAAATTCATGGGAAGGAGGAAAAATTCTCCCGGGGCTGTGGAAGTTCCGGAGCTTTTCTAAGGATTGGGAAAAGCTCGGGATGGGATCCCAGCTCAGAAAATGAATCCCAGGAATTCCATCCGGAGATCCCAGCTCAGCAGGGGAATTCCAGGAATTCCTTTGGGGTGGAAAAGGCGGGAACAGCGATCCCAGGTGAATTCCAGGAATTCCTTTGGGGTGGAAAAGGCGGGAATAGCGATCCCAGGTGAATTCCAGGAATTCCAGGAATTCCACCAGGGTGGAAAAGGCAGGAATAGCGATCCCAGGTGAATTCCAGGAATTCCACCAGAGTGGAAAAGGTGGGAACAGCAATCCCAGGTGAATTCCAGGAATTCCTTTGGGGTGGAAAAGGCGGGAACAGCGATCCCAGGTGAATTCCAGGAATTCCAGGAATTCCATCGGGGTGAAAAAGACAATCCCAGCTCAGAAAATGAATCCCAGGAATTCCATCCGGAGATCCCAGCTCAGCTGGGGAATTCCAGGAATTCCTTTGGGGTGGAAAAGGCAGGAACAAAGATCGCAGGTGAATTCCAGGAATTCCAGGAATTCCACCAGGGTGGAAAAGGCAGGAACAGCTCAGCAGGTGAATTCCAGGAATTCCTTTGGGATGGAAAAGGTGGGAACAGAAATCCCAGCTCAGAAAATGAATCCCAGGAATTCCATCCAGAGATCCCAGCTCAGCACGGGAATTCCAGGAATTCCATCGGGGTGGAAAAGGCAGGAACAGCTCAGCAGGTGAATTCCAGGAATTCCAGGAATTCCTTTGGGGTGGAAAAGGTGGGAACAGCTCAGCAGGGGAATTCCAGGAATTCCTTTGGGGTGGAAAAGGTGGGAACAGCGATCCCAGGTGAATTCCAGGAATTCCTTTGGGGTGGAAAAGGTGGGAAAAACGATCCCAGGTGAATTCCAGGAATTCCAGGAATTCCACCAGGATGGAAAAGGCAGGAACAGCTCAGCAGAGGAATTCCAGGAATTCCATCGGGGTGGAAAAGGTGGGAAAAACGATCCCAGGTGAATTCCAGGAATTCCTTTGGGGTGGAAAAGGTGGGAAAAACGATCCCAGGTGAATTCCAGGAATTCCAGGAATTCCATCAGGGTGAAAAAGACAATCCCAGCTCAGAAAATGAATCCCAGGAATTCCATCCGGAGATCCCAGCTCAGCAGAGGAATTCCAGGAATTCCATCGGGGTGGAAAAGGCAGGGAAAACGATCTCCGGTGAATTCCAGGAATTCCAGGAATTCCATCGGGGTGGAAAAGGCAGGAACAGCTCAGCAGGTGAATCCCAGGAATTCCATCCGGAGATCCCAGCTTAGCTGGGGAATTCCAGGAATTCCTTTGGGGTGGAAAAGGTGGGAAAAACGATCCCAGGTGAATTCCAGGAATTCCATCAGGGTGGAAAAGGTGGGAACAGCTCAGAAAATGAATCCCAGGAATTCCATCCGGAGATCCCAGCTCAGCAGGGGAATTCCAGGAATTCCATTGGGGTGGAAAAGGCAGGAACAAAGATCTCAGGTGAATTCCAGGAATTCCAGGAATTCCTTCGGGGTGGAAAAGGTGGGAAAAACGATCCCGGGTGAATTCCAGGAATTCCAGGAATTCCATCAGGGTGAAAAAGACAATCCCAGCTCAGGAAATGAATCCCAGGAATTCCATCCGGAGATCCCAGCTCAGCTGAGGAATTCCAGGAATTCCATTGGGGTGGAAAAGGCGGGAACAGCGATCCCAGGTGAATTCCAGGAATTCCAGGAATTCCACCAGGGTGGAAAAGGTGGGAACAGCTCAGCAGGTGAATTCCAGGAATTCCAGGAATTCCACCAGGGTGGAAAAGGTGGGAACAGCGATCCCAGGTGAATTCCAGGAATTTCTTTGGGGTGGAAAAGGTGGGAAAAACGATCCCAGGTGAATTCCAGGAATTCCAGGAATTCCATCAGGGTGGAAAAGGCAGGAACAGCGATCCCAGGGGAATTCCAGGAATTCCTTTGGGGTGGAAAAGGTGGGGAAAATGATCCCAGGTGAATTCCAGGAATTCCAGGAATTCCTTTGGGGTGGAAAAGGTGGGAACAGCGATCCCAGCTCAGAAAATGAATCCCAGGAATTCCATCCGGAGATCCCAGCTCAGCTGGGGAATTCCAGGAATTCCTTTGGGGTGGAAAAGGTGGGAAAAACGATCCCAGGTGAATTCCAGGAATTCCAGGAATTCCATTGGGGTGGAAAAGGCAGGAACAAAGATCTCAGGTGAATTCCAGGAATTCCAGGAATTCCATCGGGGTGGAAAAGGCAGGAACAGCAATCCCAGGTGAATTCCAGGAATTTCTTTGGGGTGGAAAAGGCAGGAACAGTGATCCCAGGTGAATTCCAGGAATTCCAGGAATTCCAGGAATTCCATCAGGGTGAAAAAGACAATCCCAGCTCAGAAAATGAATCCCAGGAATTCCATCCGGAGATCCCAGCTCAGCTGGGGAATTCCAGGAATTCCATCGGGGTGGAAAAGGCAGGAACAAAGATCCCAGGGGAATTCCAGGAATTCCTTTGGGGTGGAAAAGGTGGGAAAAACGATCCCAGGTGAATTCCAGGAATTCCTTTGGGGTGGAAAAGGTGGGAAAAACGATCCCAAGTGAATTCCAGGAATTCCAGGAATTCCTTTGGGGTGGAAAAGGCAGGAACAGCGATCCCAGGTGAATTCCAGGAATTCCTTTGGGGTGGAAAAGGTGGGAAAAACGATCCCAGGTGAATTCCAGGAATTCCTTTGGGGTGGAAAAGGTGGGAAAAACGATCCCAAGTGAATTCCAGGAATTCCAGGAATTCCTTTGGGGTGGAAAAGGCGGGAACAGCTCAGCAGGGGAATTCCAGGAATTCCTTTGGGGTGGAAAAGGTGGGAAAAACGATCCCAGGGGAATTCCAGGAATTCCAGGAATTCCATCAGGGTGAAAAAGACAATCCCAGCTCAGAAAATGAATCCCAGGAATTCCATCCGGAGATCCCATCTCAGCTGGGGAATTCCAGGAATTCCATCTCCAGCCTGGATCATCTTTCCCTGCTCTTAATGAGCTCGGGATCATTAACCAGGGATAATTAACCCTCAGCTCCCTGTCGTGCTTCCAGCTCCAAGAAAATCCCTGGGAAGAGACAGAATTCCAGGAAAATCTGCTGCGGAGCCCTGGGAGATCCCAAATTTCCAGTTCTGGACATTCCCGCTCCCGAATCCAGCCCGAATTCCCGGCGGGATTTCGGGAATGTCGGGATCCATCCCAGACTGGAAACAGGGAATGGCTTCCACTGGGAAAGGGGATTTTGGGATTTTGGGATTTTGGGAAGGAATTCCCAGCTGGGAGGGTGGGGAGGGGCTGGGCTGGAATTCCCGGGAAATCCCTGGATCCCTGGAAGTATCCCAGGAAAGGCTGGAGCATCCTGGGACGGGGGGATTGGAACGTTCCCATCCCATCCTGGGATGGAATTCCAAGGAAGGAATTTCCTTGGATTTCAGGACCAGGCTCCTGAGGGTTTTTCCTGGTTTTTTCCTTCCATGAATTCCCATGGAAAAGGGGATGCAGAAAATGCCCGATGATTCCAGGCGGGAATTCCTTTTTCCCGAGCTCATCCAGGCCAGGAAAATCCAACTGCTGGAAAAAGCTCGGGAAGCAATTCCAGGATCGGGGAAGCGGATCCGGATGGATCCATCCCTTGGATTTTCCTGGAGAGGGATTTGGGCTCATTCCCTGCTCCGAACCTCGGATCCGCAGGGAGAGAAATTCCCGCTCCGAAGGCTCTGGGGCGTCATTCCCAAATTTCCTTTTTCCAACGGGAAACTGAGGCAGCAGCCGGGGAATTCCAGGGATGATCGCCGGGAATATCCTGGACACTGTGCCAGAATATTTTAGGATTTGGGAGAGATCCAGGGCTGGAATCCGGGATGGAATCCAGGCTGGAATTCCCATGGGATGCAGGAGCCAGCTCGGGATGAGGGGATGGGAAAAATCCGTCGGGAAAACCAAGCGGGACGATCCTTCGGAATCTCCCCGGAGCGCCGCGGATTCCGACAGCAGCAGGAGGAAAAAACCGGGAATTTTCTGATTCTTGGAATGATTTGGGATGGAAGGGATCCTAAATCCACCCCCTGAGAGCTCCTCCCTCGCTTGGTTTTCCGGGAATGCTCTGCTGGAAATTTGGGAATGCTGCCTGGGAATTGTCCTGCTCCGAGCGATTCCTTAAATTTCCAATGGAATTTTGGCTCTTGGATTGAGCCCCATCCCGGCGCCCGCGGGAATCATTCCTTGGGAATAATTCCCGCCTGGAAGGGGATCCCCATTCCCGGAGGGATCGAATTTTCCATGGATGTGGCATCAGGGAATTCCAAACCCGCTCCGAGAGGGATTTTCCAACCGGAATAATTCCATGTTTCCATGGTTCCTTCCCTCATCCGGGCTCTGGGGTGGGACAGGAGGGATTCCAGGACCTGGAATTCCTGGAATTCCTGGAATTCCTGTGTCCGCTTGGAGCTCAGTCCCAAAATCTGTTGGAAAAAACTTTTCCTCTGGAAAAGCTTTGGAGCCTCTCCCAGTTCCCGGAGGATATTCCTCATTCCTCTGGTTTTCCCGGATCCCTGAGCACAAACCAGGGATGACTCCAGGATTTTCTGGGAATTCCGGCTTTGGATGGATGATCCTGTGGTCGAAATCTGCTCCCAGAATTCCGGAATATCAGGAATTCCTCTCCATCCGTAGCTTTGGATTTGACTCCCACATTCCCAAGGGATCCTGTGAGGATCCAGAGATTTCATCTTTGCCTGGAAAACCGAATTTTCCCGGTTTTCCATCAGGGATTTGGGAATGGGATCCAATCCTGGTGGCTCCAAAGGGTTCCCGAATCTGTCGCCATTCCCCTTGTTCCAGAAACAGGAAAAAACAGGGATGACTCCAGGATTTTCTGGGAATTCCGGCTTTGGATGGATGGATCCTGTGGCCAAAATCCGCTCCCAGAATCCCGGAATATCAGGAATTCCTCTCTATCCACAGCTTTGGATTTGACTCCCACATTCCCAAGGGATCCTGTGAGGATCCAGAGATTTCATCTTTGCCCGGAAAACCGAATTTTCCCGGTTTTCCGTCAGGGATTTGGGAATGGGATCCAATCCTGGAGGCTCCAAAGGGTTCCCGGATCCGTCGCCATTCCCCTTGTTCCAGAAACAGGAAAAAAACAGGGATGACTCCAGGATTTTCCGGGAATTCTGGTTTTTCAGCCTGGCTTTGGGGAAAAAGCAGGAAAACAGGGAATTTTCCTCACCTGGCCCATTTTTTGGGAAGCTCCAGCAGGATCTGAGCTCTGCTCCGGAGTCTCTTTCCCACGGGAATTCCCACCTCACTCCGGCTTAATTGAGTTCTGTGTCCGGCGCTAATTAGGGAGCCGGGAATTAATGGATCTTGGAGAGATGCCAGGAGAGGATTCCCCTCGGGAATGGGGCCGGGAAATGAGGGATATCACTCATGGATGCCTCGGAAAAGTCTGGATTGGGAAGGGCCTCTCTCAGGAAGTGGAATTCCATGGAATTTTTCCATCCGGCTGTTCCCAGATCCCAAAATCCCAGGTTCTCCCAAGGTCTCCCAGCCCTTTATCCACCTGTTTTCCCTGTTTTTCCTCTCCAGGACTTTCCTTCTACACCCGAGTGTTGGAAAACTGCGAGGACGAGGCCAAGTTTGATGAGGTAGGAGAAGTTTTCCATGTTTTTATCCCAAAAAATCCCACTTGCTTTCCTGGGATTCCCTGTCCAGGTGAAGACCCAGGATTCCCAATCCTGGTGAAATCCCTGTTCCCAATTTTTCTTGGCATCTTCGTTGTCTGCTCCAAGATTTCTCCTGGCAGGGGCCAAACGGGATTCCGGGCTGGAGACGGGTGGGAAAATTCCTATGGAATTCCTATGGAAATTTCCTATGGAATTTTCCAAGGTTGTTGGGGGGGGGATAAATTAGAACATAAATTTTTCCATATTTTCCGCACTGAATTTCAGGAAAAATTGTTTGTCCATGCTGGGAAAATCCCGCTGGGATTTTGGCTCCGTTTTCCTTTGTCTCAGGAGGAGAAAATTGGGATTTTTCCCCACCATGAAATTCCTTCTTTTTCCTTCAGGCACGGAATTCCAGAGGATCTGTGGCTGCCCCTGGATCCCTGGAAATATCCAAGGAAAAACCTTGGAGCAGCCTGGGATTGGGAAATTTCCCTGCCCATGGAATGGGATGGGATTGGAGTTCCCTTCCCACCCAAATCATCCCGTGAACACTTCCAGGGCTGGAACATCCCAAAATTTCGGGAATTTTTCCCCCTCCAAGTCCATTTCCCACCAGTGGGATTTTTTTTCTGCCCCCCAAATTCTGGAATTCCAGGCTGGACAAATCCGGATCCAAACACGATCCCAACCATTTTTCTGCTGTTGGAAAAATATTTGGGAATGTTTGGGATCGTGATTGGATCCGGAGCCCTGGGAATTCAGTCCAGCCTGGAATTCCGGAATTTTTAGGGAAGCGAATCCCTCCTGGATCATCCATAAGGCTCTGTGAGGCCGTGGGGGCATTCCTGGATCAAATCCTTCCTGCCGGGGGAATATCCAGGGAATCTCCACCCTCCTGTGGGCACAGGGAATTCCCGGGAATATCCAGGATTATCCATGGCAGATCCCAAATCCTGGAGCAGGAGGGGAGGGGGTTGGGATTTGATTCCCGGGAATTGGGACAGGAGAGGGGAAGCGGCCTCAGGCTGTGCCAGGGAATTCAAAGTTGGATTTTGGAAACAATTCCTCCATGGAAAAGGCTCCAGGGGAGGTTTGGAATCTCCATCCCTGGAGGTTTCCAAGGAATTCTTGGATGTGGCACTTTTGGAATTGTCCTATTCCCACCTCTTGGATTCGACGATTCCAGAGGGTTTTTCCAACCTTGATAATCCCTGGATCCTGAGACTCCGGAGCAGAGCTCAGATCCTGCTGGAGCTTCCCAAAAAATGGGCCAGGTGATGAAAATTCCCGCTTTTCCTGCCCCCTCTTCCCACGAATCGGGATCCAGATTTCGGATCTCCGTAGGTTTGGTTCCGTTCCGTTTCTTTTTCCCAATTATTCCCTCCTTCATTCCATAAAGAATTCCGTGAGCCCTCTGCTGCTCCGGAGCCTGCTGGACATTCCAGAGGCTGGAAAATTCCAGAGGCTGCTCACAGCTCCCGAATTCTTCGGGAATGTTCGTGCTCCGGGCTTCATCCCGAAGGATTTTGTCTCGGAAAGGCTTTTCCGGGAGATCCCCATGGGAGGGAACGGAATCTTTGGGAATGAAGGAGCCCAAATTCCTCGGAGCTGAATTTTCCTGGGATCATTCCAGACAGGCCCCGAGGCTCGAGCTGCTCCCGTTAATTCCAGGAAACACAAATCATGGAATTTTAGGTGGGAAGAGATCCTAAAACTCTTCCCATTCCATGGGCAGGGACACTTTTCCTGATCCCAGGTTATTCCAAGCCCTGTCCAGCCTGGCCTCGGACACTTCCATGGATCCAGGGGCAGCCACAACTCCTCTGGGAATTCTGTGCCAGAACCTTCCCAGTTTCCCATTTTTTTTTTTTTCCCAACACTTGGAAAACCCCTTGGATCAAGCTGTGGCTGCAGCCACGATTTTTCCAGATTTTTTTCCCTCTTTTCCTTTGGCAAACACAATCCCAGGATCTAATGAATCCCTGGATGTCGCTCCACATAATTCCTGCCACTTCCTCTGCCTTTCCTTGGGTTTGGAGTGGATTTCCTGGGATTTGGTAGATCCCAACTCCCTTTGGATGGAGGTGACAAGGGACCAGGCTGGGAAAATTCCCATTTTTTCCCTTCTTTCTCTGGGAAAAGGAGCCGAGGGCTGCTGGTGCAGAGCCCTGAAAATTTGGAATTGGATAATTCCTGCAGAATTCCTTCCTGGAAAGGGCTGCCCAGTGGTGGAATTCCCAGAGGGATTTCAATCCACGTGGATCTGGGGAGACGGACCAAGGGCGGCCCCGGCAGCGCTGGGAATTCTTGGATTTGGGGATCTCCAAGGATTTTTCCAACCTAAATACTTCCTTCCTTCCATAACCTTGGGATTGATGGGTGATTTTATCACCGGATCCAATCCCTGGAGTATCAAAAACTTTGGAAAAAAACAGGGAGAAAGCAGGGAAAGGATAAATTCCATCCCCACGTGGATAAATCCTGCGGGAGGATCCGGAGCGGCGCCGGATCCGTTGGTGCCGTTTCCCATTTCTTTTTATATTCCAGTAATTTTTGCTTCCCTGGCTCTGCAGACCAATTAAAACCGGGAATAAATAACTCGGGAATTGCTGAGGAGGCGCCGGTTCCTTCCTGGGAATTTGCTGGATGAGCAAATTCTCTTCCCGTGGTTTTCCGTTCTGGATCCCGGATCCGCTGCCTCCGGCACATTCCCGACCCGGGATGCTCCAGGGGTGGCTTGGGATGGTGGGATTTGGGAGGTCCTTGAGCTTGGAAAATTGGGAATTCTGAGGGATTTGTCTTAGGATGAAAAAAATATAGGAAATGGATCATATTTTATGGAATCATGGAATGGTTTGGGTGGGGAGGGAATTTAAGGATCATCCAGTTCCAACTCTGACATCTCCATGATTCCAGGGTGATCCAAACTTTCCTGGGACATTCCCAGGGATCCAGGGATTCTCTGGGAATTCCAGCCCAGCCGGGAATTCCTTCCCCAGATCCCAAAATCCCAAGCTCCCCTTTCCAGCTGGGAATTCCATTCCCTGGCTCCTGCCCCTCCAGCCCTTCCCCAAATTCCAGCTCTCCTGGAGCCCCTTTGGGATCGGGAAGCGGCTCCAAGGATTCCCTGGATCCTTCCCTGATCCAGGGGAACATTCCCGGCTCTCCCAGCCTGGCCCTGTGTTCCCATCCCCATCCAATGTCTGTATTTATATTTTCCGTGTGTGAATCCATGGAATAGCCGGTACTGGGCACATCCGAGGTGACATCCCTGTAAAACAGCCTTTTTCCTGGGAAAAGTGGCCTTTTTCCTGGGAAAAGTGACCCTTTTTCCTGGGAAAAGTGACCTTCTTTTCCTGGGAAAAGCAGCCTTTTTTCCTGGGAAAAGCAGCCTTTTTTCCTGGGAAAAGCAGCCTTTTTTCCTGGGAAAAGCGACCCTTTTTCCTGGGAAAAGTGACCCTTTTTCCTGGGAAAAGTGACCCTTTTTCCTGGGAAAAGTGACCCTTTTTCCTGGGAAAAGTGACCCTTTTTTCCCAGGAAAAGCAGCCTTTTTTCCTGGGAAAAGCAGCCTTTTTTTTTTCTGGGAAAAGCAGCCTTTTTTTCTGGGAAAAGTGACCCTTTTTCCTGGGAAAACCGGCCTTTCTCCATGCCCATCCCCTCCACTGCTGCTCCTGGAACACTCCTGGCTTATCCCTCTCCTCCTTTTCCCAAAAAACTCCTGGATCATCCTTGTCCTTCTTTTCCTGAATGCTCCTGGTTCCTCTTTCCAAACAATCCTGGCTCATCCATCTCCTCCTTTTCCCAAAATCCTCTCAGCTCCTCCTTTTCCCAACCAATCCTGGCTCATCCCTCTCCTCCTCCTTTTCCCAAAAAACTCCTGGATCATCCTTGTCCTTCTTTTCCTGAACTCTGCTGATTCCTCTCTCTCCTATTCCCAAACGCTCCTGGCTCATCCCTCTCCTCCTTTTCCCAAAAAAAAATCTCCTGGCTCTTTCCTCCCCTTTTCCCAACCAATCCTGGCTCATCCCTCTCCTCCTCCTTTTCCCAAAAAACTCCTGGATCATCCTTGTCCTTCTTTTCCTGAATGCTCCTGGTTCCTTTTCCCAAACAATCCTGGCTCATCCCTCTCTCCTTTTTCCCAAAAATCTCCTGGATCATCCTTGTCCCTCTTTTCCTGAACTCTCCTGATTCCTCTCTCTCCTATTCCCAAACAATTCTGGCTCATCCCTCTCCTCCTTTTCCCAAAAAACTCCTGGATCATCCTTGTCCCTCTTTTCCTGAACTCTGCTGATTCCTCTTCTCCTTTTCCCAAACACTCCTGGCTCATCCCTCCTCCTCCTTTCCCTAAAAAACTCCTGGATCATCCTTGTCCTTCTTTTCCTGAATGCTCCTGGTTCCTCTTTCCAAATAATCCTGGCTCATCCATCTCCTCCTTTTCCCAAAAAACCTCCTGGCTCTTTCCTCCCCTTTTCCCAACTGATTCTGGCTCATCCCTCTCCTCCTTTTCCCAAAATCCTCTCAGCTCCTCCTTTTCCCAACCCAATCTTTACTCATCCCTCTCCTCCTCCTTTTCCCAAAAAAACTCCTGGATCATCCTTGTCCTCCTTTTCCTGAATGCTCCTGGTTCCTCTTTCCAAACAATCCTGGCTCATCCCTCTCTTCCTTTTCCCAAAAAAACTTCCTGGCTCTTTTCTCCCATTTTCCCAACTGATTCTGGCTCATCCCTCTCCTCCTTTTCCCAAAATCCTCTCAGCTCCTCCTTTTCCCAACCAATCCTGGCTCATCCCTTTCCTCCTCCTTTTCCCAAAAAAACTCCTGGATCATCCTTGTCCTTCTTTTCCTGAACTCTCCTGATTCCTCTCTCTCCTATTCCCAAATGCTCCTGGCTCATCCCTCTCCTCCTTTTCCCAAAACGTTCCTGGCTCATCCCTCTCCTCCTCCTTTTCCCAAAAAACTCCTGGATCATCCTGTCCTTCTTTTCCTGAATGCTCCTGGTTCCTCTTTCCAAACAATCCTGGCTCGTCCATCTCCTCCTTTTCCCAAAATTCTCTCAGCTCCTCCTTTTCCCAACCAATCTTTTCTCATCCATCTCTTTCTTTTCCCAAACCGCTCCCGGCTCATCCATCTCCTCCTTTTCCCAAAAAACGCTCCCGGTTCATCCCTCTCCTCCTTTTCCCAAAAAACGCTCCCGGCTCATCCATCTCTCCCTTTTCCCAAAAAACGCTCCCGGCTCATCCCTGTCCTCCTTTTCCCAGACTTTCCGCTGGCCGGTGGCGACCAACATCGACGGGAACGAGATCCTGGAGATCCAAGTGTTCAACTACAGCAAAGTCTTCACCAACAGGTGAGTCCCTCCTTCCCACATCCCACACGGATCTCATCCCGCTTCCCTTCGGAGCCGGGAGGGTCAGGAATGTGCCTCTTGGATTTTCCTGGGAATTTCCGCTGCCGTGTCAGCGGCTCAGGGGTGAGGAATTCACCCCTGGAATTCTGCGGTGCTCGGCACCGTGTTTATCCCAAGTTTGTTTCCGTAAAATTTCCATGTTTTGACGGGAATTGGGATTATTTTTTTTTGGTGGGTTGTCCAGGTGGAAGTTGATGCCGGAATGTGTTTTCCTGGATTTTTCCAAATGCTGCGGGTGTTGGATGGATTGTGTCCAGGGAAATTGGGGTTGCCCCATCCTGAGGGATTTTTATGGAATTCAGGGATGGAAAAGGGAAGGGAGACCCTTCCTGGAGTCCTGAATTCCCAGTGAAGCCCTTGGATCATGGAATTCCTTCTCCAGGAGGAATCAGGATGGGGATGGATCCAATTTTAGGCTGGAAGAGCCGGGAATGTTCCCCTGGATCAGGGAAGGATCCAGGGAATCCTTGGAGCCACTTCCCGATCCCAAAGGGGCTCCAGGAGAGCTGGAATCTGGGGAAGGGCTGGAGGGGCAGGAGCCAGGGAATGGTTTCCCATGGGATTTTGGGATCTTGGGAAGGAATTCCCGGCTGGACTGGAATTCCCAGAGAATCCCTGGATCCCTGGCAGTGCCCAAGGAAAGTTTGGATCACCCTGAGATTGTGGAGGTGTCCCTGGGATGGGATTGAAGGTCCATGGATCCCATCCCAAACCATTCCGGGATTCTGGGATCAAGGACACTCAGGATCCATCCCGAGGGATTTTTATGGAATTCAGGGATGGAAAAGGGAAGGGAGACCCTTCCTGGAGTTCTGAATTCCCAGTGAAGCCCTTGGATCATGGAATTCCTACTCGAGGAAGAATCAGGATGGGGATGGATCCAATGCCAGGCTGGGAGAGCTGGGAATGTGCAGCTGGATCAGGGAAGGATCCAGGGAATCCTTGGAGCTTCCTGATCCCAAAGGGGCTCCAGGAGAGCTGGAATTTGGGGAAAGGCTGGAGGGGCAGGAGCCCGGGAATGGAATTCCCAGTGGGAAAGGGGAGCTTGGGATTTTGGGATCTTGGGAAGGAATTCCTGGGTGGGAGGGTGGGGAGGAGAAGAGAGGAGCTGGTGCTGGGAACATCCATCCAGGAATTCTGGGAATGTGTGGAATAGGAAATCCCACTAAACTGAGGCAGTGTCGGAATTCCAGCCCATTTTCCTCGTCCGGGAATAAGTCGGATGAGGTCGTGGTGTTTCCGGGAACATCCCTCCAGGAATGCAGGGAATAAGTGGGAAAGGAAATTCCATAAAAACCAAGGCAGTGCTGGCGCTCCGAATCAGTTGGAGGAGAGGAGGGAGAATTTTGGGAACATCCCTCCAGGAATGCAGGGAATAATTGGGAAAGGAAATTCCATAAAAACCAAGGCAGTGCTGGAGCTCGGAATCAGTTGGAGGAGAGGAGGGAGAATTTTGGGAATATCCCTCCGGGAATGCCAGTAACAATGCAGGAAAAGAATTCCCATGGTCTGTAATTCCAGCCCATCCTCCTTGTCCAGAAACGAGGAGGAAGAGGAGGGAGAATTTTGGGAACATCCCTCCAGGAATGCAGGGAATAAGTGGGAAAGGAAATTCCATAAAAACCAGGGCAGTGCTGGAGCTCGGAATCAGTTGGAGGAGAGGAGGGAGAATTTTGGGAGCATCCCTCCGGGAATGCAGGGAATAAGTGGGAAAGGAAATTCCATAAAAACAGGGTGGTGCTGGAGCTCGGAATCAGTTGGAGGAGAGGAGGGAGAATTTTGGGAATATCCCTCCAGGAGTTCAGGGAATAAGTGGGAAAGGAAATTCCATAAAAACAAGGTGGTGATGGAGCTCGGAATCAGTTGGAGGAGAGGAGGGAGAATTTTGGGAATATCCCTCCGGGAATTCCAGTAACAATGCAGGGAAAGAATTCCCATGGTCTGTAATTCCAGCCCATCCTCCTTGTCCAGAAACGAGGAGGAAGAGGAGGGAGAATTTTGGGAACATCCCTCCAGGAATGCAGGGAATGTCTGGAATAGGAATTCCCGTGAAACCAAGAGTTGGAACTCCGTCCCATCCTCCAAATCCGCTGGAGGAGGAGGAGGAGGAGGAGGGGAGGGAGAGGCTTGGGAAAGCTGATCCGGGCGCTCCGTGAATTATTCACCAGCAGCTGATGAAGGCCATTGATCAAAGGCCTGGAAAAAAGTGGGATACCTGATCCAGGAGCGCATCCAGACCCTCCGGAATGACCGGGGAGTCACGGCCCAGCGGCTCCCTTTGTCCCCTGTCCCTGTGGCTGTCACCTGCAGACAATTCCCGGGAATTTGATCCTTGTTTGGCCTCATCCAGGTGCCTCTGGATCCTGGTGGGTTCATCCCGGCTCCGGTGGGTCCCTGGGAGCATTCCCAGGGTGTTCAGTATCCAAGGAAAACGCGGAGTTGGATGAGGTAGAAACCTCCTGACCCACCAGATGGGCCACGGCATCCCAAAAATCCCGTCCCCATCTCCCGGATTGGGAATTTCCAGGCTGGGAATCTCTCCAGGACACATCCAAAGCATCCAGGAGCCACATCCCGCCCGTGGGTCATTCCCAGGTGGAAATTCCCACTGGAAAAGCTCCACAAGAGGGAAGGATCAGAAGCTGTGGGGCCTCCATGTCCTGGATAAAACCCGGGAGATTCCCATGGCATGGAATAATCCATCCAATCCCATCCTGGAAAATCCTGCTGGGAGGAGGGATGACCTGGGTGGGAATACCGGGATCCTGCTGGAATTCAGGTGTTTTCCATGGTCTCCTGGTCTCCTGGGAGACCTTCAGGACCTCTCCAGGATGGGAGAAATTCCCTGGGATGTTCTCCCGTGGTTCTGGGCCCTGGGAGAGGCTGGATGGAGGAAATTTGAGATCCCAATTTTTTGGGGGGATTTGAGCAGGAAAAGCCACCCCGGGGCACTCCTGAGGGATGTGGGAATGGGAAAATCCATGGAAAAAAAGCAGAGGCACATCCAGGGATGAATCCAAGAGAAGCCGTGATCCAGCGGCTACGGAGCCCCATTCCCAAACTTTTGGGACAGCCTGGCCCCGCCTTTCCGAGCAAGATTTCCTTGTGCAGAAAACCGGGATAACAGCAGGTGGAAATCCCAATCCCTAAGGAATACCCAAAAATCCCAGGAGATTTTGCTCCAAGGGGTTCCATCTCCTCCTTGTCCTCATTTTCCTCCGGGACCTGGCCAAAGGTCCTAAACCACATTCCAAACATGGAGCGGAGATGATTTTCCTATGGAAAACCGATCCCGCGGAGAAGAGGCAGGAGTTGTCCCGTTTTACCTGACAGGGACGCAAAGATCCGGATTGCGAAGGGTTAAATCCATCCCGGGAATCTCCGGGATGGAAACGGAGCCTTTGTTCTTCTCCAGCCATGGAGATCCTGGCACAGCTCGAGTCCTTTGTGTCTCCGGAGGGATCCTCCTTTCATCCGTGGAAAATTATCCGGAAAATCATTCCATGGAAAATTACCCGGAAAATCATTCCATGGAAAATTATCTGGAAAATCATTCAGTGGAAAATTACCCGGAAAATCATTCCATGGAAAATTATCTGGAAAATCATCCACGGAAAATTACCCAGAAAATCATTCCATGGAAAATTACCCGGAAAATCAATCCGTGGAAAATTATCTGGAAAATCATTCCATGGAAAATTATCTGGAAAATCATCCGTGGAAAATTACCCAGAAAATCATTCCATGGAAAATTATCTGGAAAATCATTCCATGGAAAATTATCTGGAAAATCATTCCATGGAAAATTATCTGGGAAATCATCCATGGAAAATTACCCGGAAAATCATTCCATGGAAAATTATCTGGAAAATCATCCATGGAAAATTACCCAGAAAATCATTCCATGGAAAATTTTCTGGAAAATCATCCGTGGAAAATTACCCAGAAAATCATTCCATGGAAAATTACCCGGAAAATCATTCCATGGAAAATTACCCGGAAAATCATCTGTGGAAAATTACCCAGAAAATCATTCCATGGAAAATTATCTGGAAAATCATTCCATGGAAAATTATCTGGAAAATCATCCACGGAAAATTACCCAGAAAATCATTCCATGGAAAATTACCCGGGAAATCATTCCATGGAAAATTACCCGGGAAATCATTCCATGGAAAATTACCCAGAAAATCATTCCATGGAAAATTATCTGGAAAATCATTCCATGGAAAATTATCCGGAAAATCATTCCGTGGAAAATTATCTGGAAAATCATTCCGTGGAAAATTACCCGGAAAATCATTCCATGGAAAATTATCTGGAAAATCATCCAGGGAAAATTACCCAGAAAATCATTCAATGGAAAATTATCTGGAAAATCATTCCATGGAAAATTATCTGGAAAATCATTCCATGGAAAATTACCCGGAAAATCATTCCATGGAAAATTATCTGGAAAATCATCCGTGGAAAATTACCCAGAAAATCATTCCATGGAAAATTATCTGGAAAATCATTCCATGGAAAATTACCCGGAAAATCATCCATGGAAAATTATCTGGAAAATCATTCCATGGAAAATTATCTGGAAAATCATTCCATGGAAAATTACCCGGAAAATCATTCCATGGAAAATTATCTGGAAAATCATCCACGGAAAATTACCCAGAAAATCATTCCATGGAAAATTATCTGGGAAATCATTCCATGGAAAATTATCTGGAAAATCATCCATGGAAAATTACCCAGAAAATCATTCCATGGAAAATTATCTGGAAAATCATCCACGGAAAATTACCCAGAAAATCATTCCACAGAAAATTATCTGGAAAATCATCCACGGAAAATTGCCCAGAAAATCATTCCATGGAAAATTATCTGGGAAATCATTCCATGGAAAATTACCCAGAAAATCATTCCATGGAAAATTACCCAGAAAA